ATGTGTGTATATATATATATATATATATATATATATATATATATATATATATATATATATATATATATATATATATACACACACACACATATCCAGCTTAAACCAGCTTGACCAGCCTGGTTTAAGCTGGACAAAGCTGGTTTTGGCTGAGCTCACAACCTGGCTAAGCTGGTCAAGCTGGTTTTAGCTGGTCATCTCCCAGGCTGTCCAGCTAAAACCAGGCTCGAAATGGCTGGAAGGTGCGAAAAAGGCGTCTGAGGTGCGAAAAAGCATCAGCCTCCCGCGGATTCGCGAAAACAAAAACTGCAGCCGTACGTACCCGCCAGGACGTATTCCGCGGTCTCCAGAAACGTCCGCGGGACTACGTTTCCACAATGAGCCCGGGTTGTTTAAAAGAGATTTGACCAAAAAAAAAGTCAGCTTTGTCATTATTTCTCAATCCTCCTGTTGTTATTTTCTCCTCTTTAAGTAGTAAACACACATATGTTTTAGTACAGCATGAGGGCAAGTATCTGATAGCACATTTTTTCTTTCCAGATATACTATTCCTTTAAAATTCCATGAAATAATCATCTAAAAAATCATTTATTTTGGGAAAAATCCCATGATGGATGGCTGTTTTGAAGGTTTGCTTGCAGCAGAGGTCTTCTTCTGACCCTTTTCTTTTTTCTCTTTCGAACCCCCCACAACCCCCGTTGACTACGGGCCTGTGTATGATTATCTTAAAACAATAGAGGTGTTTTGAATAATGTGTTTTTTTAATATGAAGGTATGGAATCAAACGTGTTATTAAAGAAATACTTGTTGCAAATCGGCAAATGTATTATATTTGTGTGCATACTTCTATGTATTACATCTACATATGCTGTATAATGCATGTAGGATGTACCATTTAGTATGTTGCAAACTGGCAAACGTATTATATTATAATGTATAACATAATACATGTATAATATAATACATTTGCCAATTTGCAACATACTAAATAGTACATCCTACATGCATTATACAGCATACTGTATGTAGATGTATTACAAGTATGCACACATAACATTATAATTTAAAAGCACAGTATATGTAAATGCATTACATGGAAGTATGCATGCATCAATTTCACATATTGTGCATGTAGATTGCTGGAACAGCACGTTTAGTCTGGTAGATGCAATTCTGAACACAGCCAGATTAATGACTGTATTGCTTGTAATGCTCATTACGTCCATTAGAGGTCAGTATAACTTTATTATTTAACACATTAAGTCATGTCCGATACTTCTGAAATCAAAATATTAGAGTTGTATGTGTAGTTTTGGCTTGTAAAAGGAAGCAAAGAGTGAGATATAACCACATTCCCCACACAAAACCATTACTCCACAAAAATACAACGGTAAAACATGATGAATATGATGATAAAATATGGTCTGGATCCATCACAGTGCTTGTTTTTTTTTTGTATTTGTAAAGGTTTGGTTGATTCTCTCTCTTCACAGATGCATAGATTCAGGGGTTTTCTGGAAGACGACGAGTCGTAAGGTTATATACTTAAAGTTAAATCATCATTTCTCATCTGAAATATCTCAAAAACGCTCTCAGCTGCCCGACATTGAAGCCCTTTTACAATCAGAGCATCTGCGTTTTTCACAGTCTCCCCACAAACTGGAGTAAATCAACAAAATCAGGAAACACCGGCTCTGTCCCAAACCCTAGTAAGCACTCTACATAGGGAGCATGTTAAGGCATCATAAGATGGTAGTCTATATAAAATTGCAGATATATTAGTTGAAATATTAAATCACTGAAAGGCATCACATGCACTGCTTTTATTTATAACCACTGTTGGCTGTTGTAGTTACCACACCGAAGGCAGCAGGAGCGTCAAAGTTCACTACATTGATCCCATATTTAAAGGGGCCATCGCAGCATTTTAGCAATCACTTGCATTCCTGCATACAGTAATATTACTCATTACTGATGTAAGGGATCACTTTTCATTTTTATAGCATGTAATTGTTGTTACTTATAATGTCCTTGCCTTGAATGATGTGAATAAATTAAACAGTTCTGGATAAACCAATTGAGTTATGCAGACTAATTAATAGTTAATATTGTTTCAGCTTTGTTTATGATAAAAATCATACATGATTGAGAACCAATGAATTGAGTCAGTAGGAAATGTCGAGTCATTGATTTTGAAACATATAATATTTACTATTCTTAATGTACATTTTTTGATAAAGCTAAAAGGTCATGATTGGCTCAGAGAATGTTTTGAAATTTATATGGGTTTATTTATGGGTATATTTTAGATAGCGTTGACTCAAGTAATTAAATGACTTGTTGAGTAATTAAGTTACTTTTAAGACATAGTAATTAAAAATGTAATTTAATAATACATATATATATATATATATATAAATATATATATATCTTTTTTTTTTTTCTCTCTCTCTCTCTCTTTTCACACAC